GGATTTATGGCTTTCCTTTCAGCTGATGTACTTCATTATGTAACTGTAAAGCCTTTGACAGAACGTGTGGGTCTGTATTGTAGCTCAGAGTGTGATATTTTTAAGAAATTCTGCAAAAGTCTCCTGGGAAGAGAGAAAGCTATTTCTATATAGGTATTCTTAATGCCTGCCACCGGGTCAGTTTCCCATTGAAATCAATGAAACGAGGCGGTGGAAACGCTACCGCTTTTGTCCACAGGGGGCACCAGAATTATCTGAAAAATGAAAGTTCTAGTACAGAAGTGTTATCAGCTAAATGTAATTGCATTTTACTGCTGTAGATGATAATTTTAACTCCTTTATATACAGGAAGGGTTTGAAATCTGAAAACTAAAGCTGTCAGACAAACAAAGTGGAGTACAAAGTACAATATTTGCCTCTGATGTGTGGAAGAGTGGAAGTATAAAGCTGCGTAAAATGGAAATCCTCAAGTACCCTCAAATCTGTACTTAAGTGCCCAATCTCATTAAGACAATTCTGGCTTTAATCTGCTCCTACAGACCACATTTCCTTCAAATGATGTTTTTAATTCAAATGAATTGGTCTAAAACAAACTTAAAATCTTTAAACAAGAAGGTGTTCCAATAAGTCAGAAACTTCAGAAAAATACTTAAAACAAACTGATTTGCAAAAGAAAACAGGCTGCAAAATTCTTACTGGGCTGATGGAGCACAACTTAATGACCCTAATGTACCACCAGAAATACTGAATCAACTGTGATCGATGTGTCCTGAGATCTGCCTGACTGCATCTTCCTCTTCATCAGGATGTCCCCATTGAGCAGCAAAGCGAAATCTGTGTGTCCTGTTGCCCTTTCAGTGAGACCTGATATCCTTCTCCATTTCCCAGACAGTAATGAAGGGATTCCCAGAAGGAGGAGTCACATATCTGCCGACCCTCCTGGTTTTCCCAAGAGTCTCCCAATTTTCACTTGGAGTTTCCACTCGGGTTGCTACAGCAGCAGAGTATTGGGATATTTCATTTATATATATATATATATATATATATATGCACACAGTGATACTTTGACTCTAAAAAGGATCAGACATTAGTTTTTTCCTGACTGTAACTGGATGAAACTGAACTGACTTTCCAAGTTCAGAAAGCGTGGGTTCTTCTCTTTTTATGAAATATCAACGACGTGATGATCTTATTCATCCGTTTCTTGGAAACGAAAGCTGATGTAAGTGCTCACTCAGTAAGTGTGTGACAAGTTCTTGCCCTGATTGTGAGAGAGAATTTCCTCTTGGGAACATTACTCACAGTAACTGCAGACCACACACTGCTGCTCTTATAATGCAACGGCTCCATCTTCAGGCAAAACCTCTGCATCGACGTCAGCACACTCAGTAGGAGTGAGGATATCCGTCAAATACATCAACAACTATTGGATGGATTCTCTGGCTCTTCTCCATCATCCAATACTTAAAGTTTATTAACAAAAACCTACATCCCATCAGCCTCTGGGGCAGTTATACTTTATGTTTAATGCTACTTTGCACTGATGGAAACATAAAAGTGTGTTTCCTGCTTGTTTTTACAGCTTGCAGGTTAACATATCACAACTTTCTATTTGCAGTCAGTGTCTGTAGTGTCTGTAACATGGTACATAGGATAATAGTTTATACATAAATGTTCAGAAGAAAGGGCTTAAATCTCTGATTATTACAGCCTCACAGAGCAGCTAGCGTAGCTGTAGAGTGGTTCCCAACCTGGGGGACAGGAGCCCCACTAGAGGGTCAACAAAGCTTCACAGGGGGTTGCAAGGCCTTCTTGATTTTAAGGCAAGCTAGAATACTACACACAGACAGTGTGTCTGTAGGCGGATATCTCAGCATTTGGTTCACTTCTGTGAAGAAAATTAAACATAAAGTGTCTAATAGAACAATGGCCGAGCGTCAGGGACAAGAAAACACTGAATTTATTCAAAAAGAAGCCTAGTAATTCTGTATGATTGTTAAAAAATAATTAAAAAAAATACAGAATACAGACAAATAATTGTATAAAAAGTTCCCTAAACAAGAATTAATCTGCTCAAAATTCAAATCACTCGTTCATAGTACAGTTTTGAATATAATATGAAATATACACAAAATATATCACTGAGCCTATTTACTAAATGACAGGAAAAGGTTGGGAACCACTGGTTTAATAAACTCTCTTGTTTTGTTTGCTTGTTTCTTCCTTTTAAACTGTTTCAGGCATCAGTATTAGTTGCAGTTCTATTTATAACAACATGATGGCGCCAGAGGGAGGATTCTGGTTGCACCCTGAGACTGTTTGCTGTTGCCAAGAAGAAGTATGCAGATCCTTAACTTGAGTAAAAGTACCAGAACAACAATGTAAAAGTATTATCAGCTAAATATACTCACAAGTATCAAAGTAAAGGTGCTGGCTGTGCAGTAAAATGTCTCCTGTGACTCTATTAATAATATGTTAGAGCTGTTAGATTGTTAATATCGATGCATCAGCGTTTTTTGTTAAATATTATATTTGACCTTCTAAATAAAACCTTCAAATAAAGTTTAGGGTGGGATTTTCTCATTGGTGGAACTGCTTAAATCTCCTAAACTGTGACCAAAATTACTCTTTATTTACTACATAATGCAATAAAACTCACACTCTGGTTGGACCTCTGAAAAGTGACAAAGTTGACTCTTAATCTGAAAAGTAACCAGATACAATAGTTGCTGAACAAAGAAATAAGCTACAGTGGAGTAAAAAGTACAAAATTTAATTCTGAAACTTGGAAATATAGATATATATTAAGTAAAGCACAAGTACAACTTCAATAAATACAACTGCACCAGAGTCAATGATACTGTTTAGGCAACCACAAGAACATGATAAAACACTTTCTAAAGTAGAAAAAACATCAGTAAAATAACTGTTTATTCAGTAATTCTTAAAACTCAAAGACAAAAACATCTAAAAACTGATTTGAACCCATTTTTATCTCCAATTCTGACTCCTTCTGGTCAATAATTCCTGTAATTACTGACTCAAAATGACAGAAAGTTCATAGAACTGAAGCTGAACTGCTGCCTTCAGCTTTTATGAACCAACTCCCAGAGCACTCATTTGTTTTTCAGAGCCACTTCCTCCCTCCATCTCCCCCTTTTTTTCTCACAAGCCCGTCTTCTTCTTTTTTATTTTTGCTCTTAAGCAGCATCAGATTCCTCGCGTGAGAACGTCGTGTCAGGTCCAGTTGATTGTGATATTGGGTTACTGTATTTTTCCCTGTCTTTAATCCCTCATTCAGACCGGCCAGTCAGCCTTTTCTTCGGGGGCAGTTTGGATTTCAGAGCTGGACTTAGTCAAGCTTTAAAAAAACTGCTAAAATACAGGTCTTCTGCCCATTTTCCAACAGTAAAATAATGGTTTAGCTTTGCATTGGACGACTGCTCACTTAGACAGGACAAAACTAAAAGTAATCTGAGGTTTAGAGATGACACGGGATTGCATTAACCTCTTTGTTTCCAAAAGGAAGTTTATATTCAGTGATTACATGTCTTAAGAGGAAGGAAACTGCATCAACTGCCAATTATCTTCAATTTGGAAAGGAATCAATATCCATTAAGTACAGTATATGTATGGTAAACACAAAACCAATTAGAAGCACACGTTTACAACCTAAATTATTAAACTTTTACTCTCATCAGGCCTAATTAAATAACTACATTTTACACATGAAAATCAGTTTATGTGTCACTAAGAGGACCACTCATCCTGTTAAAACTGTTCTATAATTTCTTCTGTGGATTTGGAGGAAGCTAGAAGAAACACATTACACTCCTATAACACTTTTAAAAAAAGAATAAGAAAACTCAAAGAGATATCGTCTTCCCTGACAGAATCTGGAGCATACATTACCCACAATTCAACACGACTTACACTGATATTATGCTAGTAGGAGCCAATGTAGGAGGGGG